CCTCACATTACTGGGATAAACTGGGAACCTCACATTACTGGGACCGCCACATTATGGGATAAACTGGGAACCTCACATTACTGGGACCGCCACATTATGGGATAAACTGGGAACCTAACATTACTGGAAAAACTGGGAACCTCACATGATGGGATAAACTGGGAACCTCATATTACTGGGATAAACCAGGAACCTCACATTACTGGGATAAACTGGGAACCTCACATTACTGGGACCGCCACATTATGGGATAAACTGGGAACCTCACATTACTGGGACCGCCACATTATGGGATAAACTGGGAACCTAACATTACTGGAAAAACTGGGAACCTCACATGATGGGATAAACTGGGAACCTCATATTACTGGGATAAACCAGGAACCTCACATTACTGGGATAAACTGGGAACCTCACATTACTGGGACCGCCACATTATGGGATAAACTGGGAACCTCACATTACTGGGACCGCCACATTATGGGATAAACTGGGAACCTAACATTACTGGAAAAACTGGGAACCTCACATGATGGGATAAACTGGGAACCTCATATTACTGGGATAAACCAGGAACCTCACATTACTGGGATAAACTGGGAACCTCACATTACTGGGATAAACTGGGAACCTCACATGATGGGATAAACCGGGAACCTCACATGATGGGATAAACCGGGAACCTCACATTACTGGGATAAACTGGGAACCTCACATGATGGGATAAACTGGGAACCTCACATTATGGGATAAACTGGGAACCTCACATTACTGGGATAAACCAGGAACCTCACATAACTGGATAAACTGGGAACCTTAAATTATGGGATAAACTGGGAACCTCACATTACTGGGATAAACTGGGAACCTCACATGATGGGATAAACCAGGAACCTCACATTATGGGATAAATTGGGAACCTCACATTACTGGGATAAACTGGGAACCTCAAATTATGGGATAAACTGGGAACCTTAAATTATGGGATAAACTGGGAACCTCACATTATGGGATAAACCGGGAACCTCACATTATGGGATAAATTGGGAACCTCGCATTATGGGATAAACTGGGAACCTCGCATTATGGGATAAACCTGGAACCACGCATTATGGGATAAACTGGGAACCTCACATTATGGGATAAACCAGGAACCTCACATTATGGCATAAACTGGGAACCTCAAATTATGGGATAAACTGGGAACCTCAAATTATGGGATAAACCGGGAACCTCAAATTATGGGATAAACTGGGAACCTCACATGATGGGATAAACTGGGAACCTCAAATTATGGGATAAACTGAGAACCTCAAATTATGGGATAAACTGGGAACCTCAAATTATGGGATAAACCGGGAACCTCAAATTATGGGATAAACTGGGAACCTTAAATTATGGGATAAACTGGGAACCTCACATTATGGGATAAACTGGGAACCTCACATTACTGGGATAAACTGGGATCCTCACATTATGGGATAAACTGGGAACCTCACATTACTGGGATAAACTGGGATCCTCACATTACTGGGATAAACTGGGATCCTCACATTATGTAATAAACTGGGAACCTCGCATTATGGGATAAACCAGGATCCTCACATTATGGGATAAACCAGGATCCTCACATTATGGGATAAACTGGGAACCTCACATTATGGGATAAACTGGGAACCTCACATTATGGGATAAACTGGGAACCTCACATTATGGGATAAACTGGGAACCTCACATTACTGGGATAAACTGGGATCCTCACATTATG